GTAACTTTGACTCGTTGTAACTCTGGTCTAACGATGGCGCCTCTCAGTGACGATGCCGACCATGAGGCCAATGAAATGTTTAGGAATGTACCAAGTCACCAGCCGGATGCTGGAAATTATCATGGATATTATGGTAGACGGCTCAGGCCTAGGTATGCTCCACAAGGTGTCATTGTCTTTTTAACAAAGTAACGAAACCGAGGTCAAATCAACACCATCCAGCTAAAAGAGACTGCGATCAAACCTAAAGTCACACCATCTTGGTCTTATTATCCACAAAATAATTGGTCTTTTTATATGAAGTTGGTGAAAAGTGAAATGTATGTATCCAAGATAAATCTTATAAATGCTACAATTATTAACAAAAATATCGGCTTATGTTGGCAATTTGAAAATTAGTTTAAGTTCTTGCTCGTATTGTCAAGTAGTACCAGGGTACATTATTGTAACTTCGACGGAAATTATTTACATGCAAAATCGGTTCATTAACGTTAAAACCGAATCTTAGAACAAAACTTGTTATTTATTGTGCCTAATTGATAACAGCAAATAAGCAGGACTAAATTTAATAGATCGTATCATGAACTAACGTAAAATGGTATGAAAAAAACGATCCCATCTCATGAATAAATGATACAATAACTATGCTGACTTAACGGGAAATAGGAAGCAAATGTATTATTACAGCTCTATCAATGGCTAAACTAGAACTTGTACATCAAATGTCTATTATTCACTACCAGATAATAGCACAGAATATGTCCAATTCGCAGCAATGGACATAGTCAACCACACTTTACGAGGCAGAAATGGAATTAAAGATTAGATTTATCACAGCAAAATTAATTGGGCATGCTGCAAATTGACATGATGAAGAAACCGGCGAAGAAACCGAAAAATCGTTTTCGGTCGACCAATGGAATAACTCCTGTCCTTACTTCCATTTCGAGTGAAAGTGTTTGATAAAGAGATTCGAAGGTCGATTCCACCAGAAGACGACGGCGGGTTCCGCTTGACCAGCTGTCGATTGGCTTTACTGGAACATTCATGATAACGCTGTTTCCGAGGCAATCTTTTTGGATTCCGGTGTAAAGATACTAAGCTTTCGTCCATAAAATGAAAAACATCATCAGAGCAAGATATCATCGCAACAACCAAATTCTGACTCGTTTGCTTAATTGTGTGTGTGTGGGGGTCTACAGGTATCTCACACAGACGCTCTACAACATGAACAGAAAATCTTGTGACAGCCAGATCGGAAGAGAGGAAAAGAGTATCAATCGGAATTCTCCTTATTCTCCTCAATTCCTGGTCCCGATGCTTAACATCTGCCAGACGCAGGCTCCTCATTATCATAGACATCATAACTCCTACTTTAACCGCATAAGTGTGATTGAAAAATAAATTCAAAATAAAACCTGCATTTGTGGTATTCTATACACATCTCAAACCAAGGAGAGGCAAATCATCTTCCTTTCCTATTCGTTTGTCATGGCATTTTTAATTCATTTTCGCTAAAAGTAGATTTCGAAACTTTCAGTAATTCTTGATTGGAAACATAGTGATCCTAGTTCTTAAAACCCCCTTATATTTAAATTAAGTAATTCTGTTGATAGCAATGGAAAAAACACAATTTTGCTTAATCGACAATCCCACTACAAAAATGTGAGTTAGTAGAGGCCTGGCTTGGTATGAATGTCGTATTCGCTCTGTGACTCACTGGCACTCGTGACCGAATAGAAGATTGGGAGAGTAGTTATGATTCATGCGACCCGGTGTCAAATTTCGTTGTGTCTTTTGAAAAGACCAAGGCGAGGACAAAAACTACAGTACATCTA